GGAGAGATAGAAACCTAAAAATAAACAATATGTTCTGAAGCATTATGATAAAGGTATCAACAAAAGTTTATGGAATGATGGGAGGAAATGCTTCAGCCATTTCTTAAATACATCCCCCATTCAGTTCACCCTGAAAGTTCCTTTTCTAATCCTGATGCCCATGTTGGGTTCAATGAAATCCTGACTGTTTTTACAAATTCTAAATGTCATTTTGTTTATAGAGTATTTCTAATCTTAACAATTGGAATTAATCTTTCCATTTGGTGTGCTTCTATAACACTTTATATCTGTTTCAATATTTACTCCAATTAGTTTTTCTTTGGATAAACACTAGGCTGCAAACTACAGGGTTAGTAGTTCGCGCCCACCAGTTACTCCGCAGGAGAAAGATGAGACGGTCTGCTCCCATAAACATGCAAGGTCTTGGAAACCCTGTTGGTAGGGTCACTGTGAGTCAGAATTGACTCAGTGGCAATAGATTTGAGTTTTGGGGTATACTTCTAGATCACAAAGCAGCAATCAACAGTATCAACTGTCCAAACCTAAGTATGGTTAAAACATAAAAATAGAATAAAAACAGATAGCATATATCAAGAATGCACTGAAAAACAGTATGTTTGTTGTTTAGTGCCATCAAGCCGATTCCGACTCATAGCAACCCTGTATAGCGTTTCTAAGAAGCGGCTGGTGGGTTTGAACTGCAGACCCTGTGGTTCAAACCAACCTTGTGGTCCAGTGCTTTATTTCATAGTGCCACACCAAGATTCTGAAAAACAGTGTACACTACAGAAAAATATTTTTCCTGGTCAGTCCTTTTCTCCACAAAGGATAATTTTGTCGACAAAGAATGTCATACATTAATGAAAATATTTATAGCTTTTAAAGTTTTCATTTAAAAATTAGATTTTTAAAATTTCTCGATCCATTTGCTTTAGAGCATCAACCAATTCTTTATAGTTGGCATTGAAAATTGTTCTGAGGGTCTTCTCCTGGATATCTCCATGTGTATGGGTGGCACTGGGCATTAACAGGTGGTCTTAACAGTTGCAGAAGAAAGATAATACATCAGGCCTCTGCTGAGAAGTGCACATTCACACATGCTCTCTCCCATCTCAACTTCAGCAAATGCAGCAGGTGCATTCAAATCTGACATAGTTTACTCCATCCAGTTCTGCTATTATTGACAGGATCCCTGACCTTTCCCTGACCTGCCCCAAATTACTGCTACCCCACCCCCATCCTGATGGATTTGACTCCGTCTTAAGGATGCCCCAGATCAGCATGCTCATGTACTCTCATATAGACACATACAAAGTATGCTCACGTGCTCCCATATAGACACACACACACACACATACAAGGGGACTTCAAAAAGTTTGTGGAAAATTTCCATGATCTTTTAATTCCATTTTCCACAAACTTTTTGAAGCCTCCCCTTGTATATGCATACATACACAAAATAGGTCTGGACATTAAAATTAAAACGAACTGGGTTCTAAACAAAGATATATATATATATATAAGTACTAGACTGCTAACCACAAGGTTGGTGATTCAAAGCCACCAGCTACTCCTCAGAAACTCTATACATTGAGTTGGAACTGACTATATAGCACTTAACAAAAACAGCATACTTAAATCTCACTCACATATGTAATATATACACGTATAAGAGGATCTTCAAAAAGTTCATGGATAAATTCCATTGTCTTTTACTTCCATTTTCCCAAAGACTTCTTGAAGCCCTGGTATACATGCCTGCCGATCAATTTCTCTGTCACTCAGATAAAGACCACCTAGTTTTAAACGTGCTTCCATCATCCTTGAAGATGGTCTATGAGAACGGATTGTCTGTCAGACTTCTTGCTCTGCACTTCCTCAGTGGCACAGAAACAGTGCATGTGTTTTGGAGCCAGCTACATTGGGGCTTAAATCCTGCTTCTGCTATTTACTATTTGAATGGCCTTGAGAAAATTGTTTAACCTCTTAGAATAAGAATTTCTTTATTTCCAAAATGAGGATACCTACTTTACTGAAGTGTCAGGTTTTCAGGTAATGCAAGTGACTGGGTGCTACGTGGAAGTGCTCAGGAAATAACAGCTATTATAGTGTGGCATCGTAGGATAAGCAAAGGACTGCTGACCACAACGTCGGTGGTTCAAACCCACCAACTGCTCCTTGGAATGGTTGCTATGAGGCGGAATCAACATGACAGCATTTAACAACAACAATGGTGAAGGTGATGATGAAAGGGAAGAGAAAAAGGAAGACGGGAGGAAGATGGTAGCTTACCACTTCTTGACTGCCTTCTGTATTTCAGAAGTTCTTAGCAAAGCGTAGCATAACATGAATATTACTAGCCTTTATCTGGGAGTGCATTAAGCTAGAAGTATGGGGAAGAAAACTAGTGGGGAGGAGGGTCTATGAATGGCTAGCACTTAATACACTTGTTGTTAAGTGCCAACAAGTCGGTTCAAGTCCATAGAGATCCTGTGTAGGGGTTTTGAGGCTGTACATCTTTGAGGAAGCAGAAAGCCTCATCTTTCTCCGGCAGGGCTTGAACCACCAACCTTGCAGTTTGCAGTGCTTACCCTACAGAGCCACTGCACTCTACTATACTTAGTATACTATGCTTGATTCTGTTAAGTGCTGTAGAGTTGGTTCTGACTCATGACTCATAGTGACCCACTATAGGGTTTCTGAGGAACAGCTGGTGAGTTTGATCTTCAGACCTTGCTGTTTAAACCGACCTTGTAGTTCAAACCAAACTTGCTGTCCTGTACTTATCCTACAGTGCCATACCTGGAACCCACTAGTTGTTGTTGTTGCTACATGCTGTCAAGTCAATACTCATAGCGATCCTGTATAGAGTTTCCAAGGAGCAGCCAGTGGTTTTGAACTGTTGACCTTGTGGTTCACAGTCCAGTGCTGATCCTACAGTGCCACACCAGGAGTCTTAGTATGTGGTTATTATTTTATGTGACTGTATATATATACACACACACACAGGTGCACTGGGAAAGAGACATTTCACAATAGTGAATTCAGCATCTTTTTGAGAAGCCCAGACCATGCTTTATTGCTTAGTAGGATTGGACTTCATGAATCCAGAACAAATACCTGTGTCTCCCACAATGGCTAATCAGAGAATTCCCATTACAGTAGCAGGTCTCAGCTGTCTGTTTCACCTGGACACTCTGGTACTGTGAGATACCCTATAGATCATAGAACCAAAGCCCAGGCACTTTCTGGAGTCATGGAGTTAGAAAAAACAGCCAGGCCACTAGCAGAGCTATTGTCATGATCTAAGCCATCAGTCCAAAGTAAGGCTAGGAAGGAGGAAGTCCCAAACTGCCCTGAACACGCTCAGAAGGAAAGGCATTTAGGGTCTGTCTTAGATGTCATTCTGTTTACGAACACATTCTACCTGTCATAGCAATCCACAAAACAATTCCAGCACAACACCTGAAGGCAAATGACTAATGCTAAAGGTGGCCTGTGCATCAGGTATGTGATGACTCCACAGGCATCAATTAAACAAGAAAACGACCTGTTCTGAGGCATGAGCATCTGGCATTTCCCAGCGAACTGCAGCCAATGGCTGATAAAACACAAGTGATAATAACCATAAAGATATTTAGCAGCTCTCTCCTTGCTCAAAAGCAACCGGGGCCTGTGAACCAAGAATAATGAACCTGGAATACCTCCAAAAGAGGAGCAGAAGAAGGAAAAACCTGCATTGAGAGCCAGCATTGCTCTTCCTTGTGCATAGAAAGCAAAGAGTGGGGGTTGTGTAAGGTCATCTTTTCAGAGAGCAAAAACACAGACTAGTCCAGAGGATGCTTGGGAGTGTGTCTGGTGGTCTAGGGGCAATCTTCAATTGTTAGGTCTCCAGGTAAGAGACAGGATTGGCAATAGTTGGTCCCCTGCTCTTAGGAGTACTTTCCAAGTAGCAGTATCATAGTATTTTGTCCAGGATGCTAGGGTAAGATCACTGTAGTCCCAACATCCTTCCCTAGGACTCATACATGAACCAGATTTTAAGTGAAAAGAGGACACACTTAACAAATCAAACAAGAGGATTGTCATGGTATAAACCCCAGCAGAGATGGTGGCTGGAGCTTGTACGTTTCAAGGCTGAATTCTAGATCACGCAGGCAGACACCTGTGTATATATAGACAATGCTTCAAACATCACCACCTCATCACACCTAATGACTGCCTGTGAATAGAGCTTGCATTCTCTATTTCTGGCTTTCCTAAAACAAAAATGTGTCTTCATATTCAGTCCTGATTCTAAACCTATTGTTTACTGCTAATTTAATTTTTGCTTCTTTCTCCAACATATGAAGTCAGGAAAATTAAAAAGGGAATGGTTTTTAGTTTTAATTTTGATTTAGATCTTAAAATTGCTACGGCTTTTTATTTATTTATTTTATTCACTTGCCTTTGATCCCCCCTTTTTCTCTTTTAAGTGGTTCAAGTAAATGAAACCATCACATGCCTTGAACCCAACATTAATATAATATTCTCACAACGTGACTAAACCCCCTAGAATGGATTCGGATTTATAGTGACCCTAAAGGACAGCATAGAACTGTCCCCCCAGGGTTTACAATGCTGTAAATCTTCATGGAAGCAGCCTGGCACATCTTTCTCCTGAGATTAGTCTGGTGGGTTCAAACCCCAACCTTTTGGCTAGCAGCCTAGCTCTTTAACCACTGCGCCACCAGAGCTCCTTTGGAATGAAACTATCAAGTAAAAAAATAAAATAAAACAGTGGTGCTTCCATTCTCATGAGACCCCTTTGCCAATGCTGCAGTGTACTGAAATCTCTCTAAAAGTGCTGCTTCGCTGTTGTTTTGGGTTTGAAAATAAAAAGCGTGTTTCATTAAGGTCAGTGATAATTCTTTCTCAGCACAATAGAAAAGCAGACCAGCCCATTAACAACACTAAAATGGCAGAATTAAACACAGTAGGTACAAGCAGGAATAGAATACCTGGGATTGCCAGATTGGAAAGGGGGACGTTGTGGAGTTGAGGGGGTAGCGAGGCCATCCAGTCGGCATTGCAGACCTCCGACGTTGTCTTTGTCCCGCTGGGGTTCGGGGAACAGATGGTCCCCATCCTGAGTTTTCTTCTCGCTTTCCTAACTGCTAGCATCCCTCTTATAAACAGACTGTCCGGGTCAGCCTAGAGCCACTCACTCAGGGATCATCACTGTAGACATTTCAGGGCCACCTTTGTCACGCCCGCCTTTCCCAAGTGCCTCTCTGCCGAGGAGACGGGGCAAATAGGTGGCTCCCTACCATCCAGCACCTGCAGTCCTCACTCTTGTCGGCCCACTGCCTTAATCTGCTCAATCCCTGCCACGTTAAACTTCTTACGTTCCCGTCTGGAGCTGAGAGGAAGGTAGGCTCCGGGAAATAAATCTCACAGAAACTGAACGTCCGCGGAGCAGCCACGCCCGGCCCTACTCATAAGACAGGTGCCCCCACATCACAGACACACATGCACGAGGGTCCATACACATGAGCACGCCGGCCACACCACCTCCAGCTTGACTTAGGTTTCTATATATGTCACTGGGCTGCTACATATGCTGGGCCTGCCTGCTAAACGTTCCCTTTGCCTCTCTGCAGGACTCCCCCTGCCCTGTGGCTTCTCGAAAGGCGCTCAGAAGTGTAACCCGCGGCGCCCAGACTCCCAGCAGCCCCACCCGGACTCCCAGCGGCCCCGCCCCTCACTGCCGGGCAGAAGTGCCGACCCAGGAGGCCCGTGATTGGTCAGTTGCAGGGCGCACTCCGATTGGCCGGCGTCTTTCTGGGCAGTCCCTAGGTTCAGTTCTCATCCCTTGCGCGCTCCCTAGTCTCCTCCCACCGTTACTCTAGCCTACTTGCAGATTGGCCGATCTGGCTGCAGAGACTGCAGATCTGGAAACTCACCGGGATTGGCCAACCGGTTTTCTTTTCCCCGCCCTATCACGAGCAGTCAGAGCTCAAATGTGTAACTTCGTGTGTGTCCTTCCTTCCTTCCTTCCTTCTGTCTCGCTGACAATTGCATAGAAAATAGATTACATTTTCCATAAACCACTAGCTTAAACCAAAACCTACTACCACCAAGTGGATTCCAACTCATAGCCACCCTATATAGAGTTTCTGAGGTTGTAAGTTTTCACGGGAGTAGAAAGCCTCATCTTTTCCCTGTCAAGTGGCTTTTAGGTTTGAACTACAGACCTTCTAGTTAGCTGTCTGAGGCTGCAAAAATATGAGAAGAAGCTGAGAAAGGTGTTGTATCAAGTATAGTTTTATGTACTTCAAGCATTACATGATTGTACAATTAACACTAACCTAAGCATCACTTCTTTTCTCATATTTGGACATGTTTTCAGGAAGAGCCAGCACCTGCAGAAGACATGCTTGGTAAAGTAGAGAGTCAGTGAAAAAGGAAGATAATCAAGGTGGATTGGCACAGTGGCAGCAGCAATGGGCTAAAGTGTAACAATTGTGAGGGTGGCAAGGACCGTTCGTTGTTCTGTTGTGCATAGGGTCACTGTAATTTGTAACAGACTCAATGGGACGTAGCAACAACAACAACAACACACACTACTTCACAGTTTAGTTGTATGATTCCCAATTTATAGATTGTTGTCTGCTGTTGATTCGGTTCCTACTCATAGCGACCCTGTTATAGGGTTTTCGAGGAGCAGCTGGTGGGTTTGAGCTGCCGGCCTTGTGGTTCAAGCAGACCTTGTGGTCAAGTCCTTTATCCTACCACACCACACCAGACGAGGCAATAATAATGATACTTTACACTTGCGACGTCTTGTTGTTTGGAATCCTTTTCCAAATTATTTGTCCCTTTTGCTCTTCTCAGTGCCCCATAAGACAGGGGATGTTAATAGAGGGAATGGAAATCCAACAGCAATCAGTGAACAATTCATACTATGGCACTGCTTAAAAATTCTGTTTTGGATTAAGACTCTCAAGCCCAGAGGCTCCCAGACACAAACCCATTTCCCTGCTTTCTGCGTTCCTTCAAATAGCATTTTACCTTGGTGGAAAACTATACGGTCTCTACAGATATGAAGACTTTGTACATGAAAATCATAGCATCTTGGTCAACAAGCAAATCAAGTAAAATACCCTGTCCTGGAAGATGGGACTCTGGAAGACTTCACAAGAGACAGCTGTGCAGAAACTCAAGAGGGGTTTATGGGAAAAAGTAACAGCAGTGTGTGCTTTAGAGAGGCTTAAGTATTTTATCCAGATATATAGGTCAGCTGACATTTAATCATCACATGATTTCACCTTATCTCTTCAAGTTAAGTCCACAATTGCAATATGTTTGCTCCCAGCCCCATCTTTCTACACACATAACTCCTGCTGCATAAAACAATTTCCTTTTCTAGTATATTCTTCACAGTCCTATAAACCAGCTCTCAATTACATAATAATAGAATTTTTTTATTTCTTCTTCTGGAGAAGTATCTCTTGTTGATTGGCGTCTTGGTGTGGCGCTGTAGGATAAGCACTGGATTGAAAGGTAGGTTTGAACCACAAGGTTGGCAGTTCAAACCTACCAGTCTCTCTTCTAAAACCCTATACAGGATCACTATGAGTAGGAATAGATTCCATGGCACTTAATAACAATAATAATCCCTTGTTGATTAAAAAAGAAAGTGTGTAATATGTATCTTGTATCTTCTAATGCTTAATGGACACTTTGGTACCGTGATCTGTTTTCTAGTATTTGCAGAATATATCACCCTGCTGTTTGACTCAACAAAGTGTTGTGTTGGTTTTTTCCATAGAAAATTCATTCCTTGAAGGGATATCTCAAGATATGCTTTTTGAAATGCCATCTTTCCAACTTTTCCCTAATTGTAAAAAAAAAAAAAAAAAGTTTAAATCTCTAAATATAAAACTTACTGGATCTGCCTAAGGCAAACAAATGTTCTGGTGAAGCTCACCTGTGAAATACCTTCTCTTCACATTCGCCCTTCATGGAAGGAGTGCACATTTTAAGAAAGCATCAAACTTTAGAAAATTGGGGACTCATTTTGTGAAAACTCAAACGCAAGAGAAGTTGAGTTGCTTCGGAATGAGATATTGAGTTACTTCTGAATGACATGTTTTGTTCCATTATGAAATTGACTATTCTCTCCAACTTTCTCATTCATGTTGTTTTTGTTAACTGCCCTCAAGTCAGTTCTGACTCATACAGACCCTGTAGCAACTTGGTTTATCCAAAGAACAGTTCAAAGGGAAGGCAACAACTTCAGCTACTTTTGAGTCAGTCCTGGGAGAAATCTTGTGGCTGACAACACACATTTAATGCAGTACTTGGCATATATCAGATGTTCAATAGTATTTGTAGATGTGGGAGGGAGATGCTTGGTAAAACATGTTCTGCTGGGCTCTAGATAAATGCTTTAGTGCAGTGTTTTTCAAACTTTAATGTGTACATGAATCACATTCTGTTCAGTAAATTGCTCATTTACTCTGAGATGGGCCTGAGATTCTGCATTTCTAAGTTTCCAACTGGCCCAGCTCACATTTTAAGTAGGAAGTTTTAAGAGAACAGGCTTATGCTTGATAAGTGGGAATATGTATTGCTTTTACTCTCTTTCCCAAGGTTTTATCATATTTTTATAATTAAAAAAATACATTTTCATTAAAAGATCCCAGTTAAGAATCTATAGGGGTAAGAGAAAATCATTTACATAATGGAAACAAAGCTATTTGTGAAACTCGTCTACTATTTGCCACCAGTGTTTAGGGAGAGGAGTTTTTAAATAAAGATAAATATTTAAAATTTAAACTGTAAATATTTTCTTACATATTGTATTATGACTTTGTCAATGGGAGAGAAGACTCAGTTTATAGAGGGCTGTTCCTGTGGTATATCATTGGGCTACAATTACAAGGTCAGAGGGTCAAACTCACCAGCTGGTCTGTGGGAAAAAAATGGTCTGTCTGCTCCTCAAAAGATTTACAGTTTTGGAAACTCTATAGAGGGTCAGGGTGGGTCAGAATTGACTCTTTTGCAGTGGGTTTGGTTTGGTTTTGTATTTTTAGAGTAAGTCTATTTTAATGAATAATTACAACCAGGTGAAGCATTTATCTATCATTTTAGTGCGTGCTAGGCATGGGGGAGAAGTTGAATAAAACTTGGTATCAGATGGACCTTCTTCTTGTTGTTGTTATTAAGTGCCGTTGGGGTGGTTCCAACTCATAGGTGACCCTGTACAGGGTTTTCAAGGAGCAGCTAGTGAGCTTGAACCACCGACCTTGTAGTCCAACCCAACCTTGCAGTTCAGCACATTAACCCATAGCACCACACCAGGACTCCAGATGGAGCTTAGATAATATATAATTCAGTACAAAAGAGAGGAAATATGTGAATTACAAATTGCAATGTGAGGTTGAATGGTGAGCAGGTACAAGTGGCAGATAATAAAAAGACATACATTTGGACGAGTTAAAGGATGAATTTTTAGTGAAAAATGGATGGAGTGTTGTGGCACCTAAAAAGGGTGTATAGCTAAGAAAACAGTTATGACAACAAGGGTGGATGTGAGGAACAGAAAACACACTAGCATGGCAGCATGTGGGATAAGTAGGAGGGTATGGTGAGAAAAAACTGACTCATTTATTCTCATTTAACCTTCATAACAACCCAGGGAGTTGGTACTTTGGATATTGAAGCCACATAACTTTGCCCAAGATCGCATAGCTAGCAATTGGTAGAGCTGTGAGGATCTTGAGCACTCTGCCAGGGGCTTTCCACTATATGTTATCATTTAGTATTGTTGTTGGTTGTTGATGTTGTTGTTAAGTGCCATTGAGTCGGGTTCTGACCCATAGCGACCCTGTATAGGGTTTCCAAGGAGCAGCAGGTGAGCTTGAGCCTCAGGCTTCCCGGTTCCAGTGAACTTTGCAGTCCTGTGCATTAACCAGCAGTGCCACTCCAGGACAGCTTGTTGTTGGTAGTTGCCTTTGAATTGAGTCCGTTCCAACCCTGCATGTGCAGAGTAGAAATGCTTCATGGGGTTTTCAAGATGGTGACCATTTGGAAACAGATCTCCAGGACTGTCTCTTGGTGGGTTTGAATCACCAACTTTTTTTACTAGTAGTCAAGCACTTAAACTGTGCCAGCCATGTTGTTGTTGTTAACTGCTGTCAAGTTGATTCTGATGCATAATGGCCCCTGTACAGGGTTTCCAAGGAATAGCTGGTGGGTTTGAACCACTGACCTTGTGGTTTGTAGTCCAATACTGATCCTACAGTGCCACCCATGGACTCATCCTACTACTATTAAATAGCAATGTATGGTACTTATTATAAATTATTAAAGACTATCTATGATGAAAAGGAGGAGCTCTGGTAGCATAGTGGATAGGAGTTGGGCTGCCAACCTCAAGGTCAGCAGTTCGAAACTACCAGCTGTTCCGTGGGAGAAAGATGAGGCTTTCTGCTCCCATAAAGATTTACAGCCTCAGAAACCCTGTACAGGGTCACTATGAGTCGGAACCGACTCCACTAGCTATGACCAAAGCATATTGAAAATTGCTTCTTCATATTAGACAATTTTAAGGATTTAAAGGAATTAATTCATTGCAGGATTTTAAGAAGGAGAGTAAAATGGTTCATTGTGCTCTAGGAAAATAACTCTGGTAGAATGGAGACTGATTTCAGTAGACAAGAGT